AGCAACCAGTGAAGTCAATTTCCACATGATCCCAACTTGTAGATTTCCCAGGCCTCTGCAGCTGAGTCTCCTCCTTCCTGTGCCCTGTCCCAAACTGTCCCAGCCTCTGCGACACTGACCAAGGACTCCTCCGGGAAGCCTTCCTGCATCTCTCCTCACACAAGTTGGATTCCTCCTCTCAGCTTCTCTGCAGAGAAAACAGAATGTGCTTAGCAAAGCCAACACTACCTTCCCCTTTCGAGGGAGCCCTGAAGAGGAGCAACCCAGCCACATCCTGCACCCCTGACGCCTGAGCCCGCCGATGTCTTGAGGGAAATGCTCTGTGATGCTGTGCGCCAGGGCAGGCAGAGGCCATGTGTGTGCCTTGGGACTAACGAGTGGCATTTGCAGATGTGGCCACCAAGTCATCATGAAACTGGGCACCCCTGGTATGACAACTCTGATCTCTTTACCAGAACATTCATTTTGAAATATACTAAGAGTCACAGACATGAGGGCCATTAAATTGTTCTCTTTCAAGGAGCCGAGCCTTGTGCAGGGAGGTTGATACATGGGTGACAACAGGGCTTGTCATCACCTGGTTTTTGTGTCTCTTACCTTGCTCCTGTCTCCTCTGGCTCTGCCCAGCACTGCCCCTGTTCCCCTTTAGCTTGGCTCTCTGGGAGCTGAGTCTCCCTTCCTTTCAAGGTCCCTACATATTATTGATTCCCAGTCCTTAGGAATATCCTCATCTTATTCCTTCCTTTTCCCTTTCCTCCTGTGGCTCTTTTGCTTTCCACCCAAACTGAGGAGCCCCAAAATGTCTTCTTCTACAATAAAAGTGGAGACATGGACGGAACAGAAGGAGTGTAAAGAAAGTGTCTGGAGGCAGGAAGCCCTTGCAAAGTGCAGGCAAGACTATCATTAGACAGGATGTCTAGACCCAGTTTGCCTTTGGGCGAAAGCTGGGACCATCTTCATAGTCAATGTGACCTGGAACTGGGTCTCACTGAATGTCTGCTAGGACTTCAGTGACAAATAGCATGGCAGCAGCAGACAGGACTCCTTGAGCATAGGAAAATCGGCACAGAATAACCTGGTCTGTGTACGCACGTATGTGTGCACGCACGTGTGTGTGTGTGCACGTGCACTGGGGCTGGGACTGCTGGAGTTCCTAGAAGATAAATTGTGGACCAGAGGAGGGGTGGGATGGCAGGACTGAACCTGAGTTGTCGGCAGGGACCAGCTCATTCAGCCAATTAATTTACTCAGCATATAGCAAGCTGGCTGTGTGCCAGGCACTGTCAGAGGCTCTGAGAACACAAGAATTAACAGCACAGACGTAAAGCCCCATCCTCAGGGAGTCTGCAGTTGGGGAAGCAGGGACAGACAATGTGTTCAGTAAATAAGGTGTTTGTTAGAGGGTGGTAGCCCTGGGTTGGAGTCCCATTTCTGCCACTGACTGGTTGTAAGACAACTGAGTGAGAACCTAACCTTTCTGCATGGACGTGAGCAGTACCCACGTTATCAGGACTGATGTGGGTTCATTGTGACTCAAAGAAAAAGCCCTCGCAGCCCTTGCTAGGAGGTACTGAATGGTGGCAACGCTTGGTAGGTGACGGTGATGGTGGCGGCAGTCAGAACGGTTTCATTTGCCACCACAAGGGTGTTACCAAGGGACCATTTCCTGGGTCTTGGGTTTCAGAAGGTATTTAGGTCTACACCGAGTTAGGTTTTGAAAAAAGCCGTGTGCCCTTCTCATCAGGAGTTATTGCCCCAAAGTGTGTATTTTCTTTTCAGACTTTATCTTAAAATTTAAACTGTTATTTTAAATATTTTTCTGAGAAACTAATTTTTGATACTTAGTCTTTTCAGTTATAGCAAAAGATGCATAACTTGAAATTTACCGTTTCACCCACTGTAAGTAAGTACATTCACACATCGCCACCATCCGTCTCCACGACTTTTTATCTTCCCAAACCGAAACTCTGTCCCCATGAAGCCATTCCTCCCGTCACCCCTCCCCCAGCCCCTGGCCACCGCCATTGTACTTTCTGTCTCTATTGATTTGACTACCCTAGGGACCTCACATCCTTGGGAGCATAGCCTAGTTGTCCTCTTGTGTCGGGCTTAGTTCCCTTGGCATAACGTCTTTGAGGTTCATCCAGGTTGGAGCAGGTGTCAGAAATCCAAGGGGCATATTTTAAGGCTGAAATTTGAAGTGCTGTGTCTGACACTCAGCAGAAAGGGCGAATGATTCCAACAGATGACAGGATGGAGAAAATGAGAAGGCCCTGGCGAAGAGCAGCTCTAAAAACAATCTGTTCCAGTCAGAGGGAGACTTGCCCCGGGCACTGCCTTTCAGGAGGTCTGTGGGGGGATTTGTCCCCCGCACCTCGAGAGCAGGGCCCAGAGCCAACCTGGTTGCCTCTTTCAGTATCAGGGACTCATGAACTGCCCTCCCTCTAGGGATAATGCCCCAGGGGGTTCTCAGTGAACTTTAGGAGGCACATGCCTTGGCCTGAAGTTTGAGTGAAGCCAGTGCTAAATCCGAAGAGATCTTTGCACAGGCGGAGCTCAGCACCAGGGGCAGTCCTGCCAGCCTTTGATTCTGCCAACACAGCCATGCAAAGTGGTCCTGACTTAGCCAGCTTCCTCCAGTTTATATGGCGTCAAGTGAATGCACTCATCACTGGGCCAAAGAACAGCAGATGCTGCCACCCCTGGGCAGTTGAGAGAGCCAGGTGAAGGGAAAGCACTGGGCTGTTCTCGGGAGGCCTGGAAAGCATCCTGGCTCTGCAGCCGTCAGCCCCCCAGGGGCCGGGGGCCGGGCTATAGGGACTGGCTCCAGGAGCTGGACCACACCACTTGGATGCTTTAGAATTTTAGAAAATCAGCAGCTGAGGCCACCGTTGTCTTCCTTTGAGGTGGCCCATGGCTTGGATGGTTCAGAGGGTGGTGGTGGTAATGAATGCCACCAAGGACAATTCCATGCTCTTGACCAGCTTGAGTCCATGTGCCTTCCCCTGGAATGAGAGGACAATGGCGGGCATATGATGTGTTGAGTACTCATGGGTACCAGCACCTGTGCCAGCCACCTCCCAAGCGCTGTCACCACTATTCCTCCCAACTACCCAGGGAGGCCCATGTGGCTTTGTCCCCACTTGATAGAGGAGATGAAGCCCAGGGTGGCCCAGCCGCATGAATGATGGCTGGCTGGCCCAGGACTGGAACCTGGTCTGTATGACTGCAGGGTCCAAGCTCACCAAAGAAAGTCAGCCACCATCAGTGCCCCCTCCCTGTGACCCGAAGGGGTCTTACAGTCCACTGGCCTGTCTTGCCAGAGCTCCTTCTGAATCACCTGGGCGGGAAGGTCTGTCCAGAGAGGTCCTGGCTGATGGCCTGTCAGGCCGAGGGCCGCTTGCAGGGACGATCAGGAGCCATGGCGCTCTCCTGCTCTCCCAGCAGACTTACCACGGGGCTGGGCAGTGGGCACCTGGGGGCTTCTGAGTTGGAGGGGAAATGCCATCCTCTAGACTGCGCTTTCCCTCCTGGGCTGAAACTGTACTCACCCTGCAGCGCCAGCAGGTGCTCACTTCTCAGGGCCTGGCTGGGACTGAGCTGGGCTGGGACCGAGCCGGCTCTGCACCTTCTTCCCTCCTTGACAACTGCATCGGCCATGATGCCCCCTAGCTTGTTCCTCAGATAAGCGCTAAGAGGCAGGGGAGAAAGCAAGTGAGTGTTACCTGTCCAGCTAAGATAGCAATGCTATCAGGGCACTGGCATGGCTCTGCCTGCCCAGGGCAGTGGAGGGCTGGTTGCAGGCTCAGCAGTCCTGTACTCCTGAAAGTATCAGCCTTCCTTTATTTATGCCTGATCTGTGCACCCCCATAGACAGGCACCAGTGGGTTCTAATCAATAATCACTGAATTGCATCAACTCAACTGGTCTTGTACCCACGCCCCTCCCACAACACCTCAGCATCCCTACACTATCTCCTGGGACCCTAGACAGGGAGAGGCGTTGGAGAGTCCCAGGAATTCCCAGATCTATGGAAACCAATGGCCCCAGGCAGGTTGGCGGGCACCTCCCGCAGAGGGAGGACCGGGGGCCAATGATGTGTTCAGTCTGGCTGCGACAGGGTGTGACTTGGACATCACTCTTGATTCATGGAAAAATAATCTAAAAGTGCCCTGGGCTGTCTCATACAGATTCTGCCTTTAGGGAATGACTGCGTTTCCAAAGGGACTTGGAAAAATTACCACCACCACCCCGAGCCCCCCCACCCCCACCCCTGCTCCCCTATCCCCTGTCTCCAGTTGTGAAAAGTTACCTTTTTATGAAGCAAGTTGTTTCAAAACAAGAGTGGTGGGTATGTGTCTATGTGTCTGCATCTTCTCAACCCAACCCTGACCTTCCTGTGTGGAAATTAACTGGAATTTAGTATTGATGCTGTCATAGAACCTAGTGTGAAACCAGCTGCTAAAACTGGTTACCACTCCTGCGGCTGTTCCTTCTTTATCATTCTGCCAGAAAGTGCTTCTGATGTGCCTAAATCGGCCACTTATTCAAAGAGTGGCATGTGTACAGGAGGAATTGGAAGTCCCGGGTTCAATCCTGGCTGAGCCTTTGTTTTGTCATCTGTAAAATGGAACCACGTATGCTCCAGGAGAAGTTTGTGAGACTCAGTGAGAAGGTGTATCTTACAATCCTCTGTAAAGTAACACATGTTCCCATCAGCCCTTTAACAAGTATGTGTTGGGTACCTTCTATGTGCCCAGGTCCATGGTGGACGGTGAAGGAAGTATAGCCATTTGTCTCGTAATCTCTGGCATTGGTCCTCACAAAGGTTGTCTCAGTGGCCTCTGCTTCCCTACATCTCCCCCGGCCAGGAAGAACCAGGCGCCATGCACCCCGGCTGGGGAACCACTAGTCTCTCTGACTTACTTTCACCAGCCTTAGTCGATTACAGGAAGGAGCTTTCTGAAGGCCTTTTCATTCTTCTTTGTGCCTCTGCTTAGCTTCCCCAAGAATTGCTCCTTTCTGGATGGGGACACCGGCCAGAGCTTGATGCCGCTTTTCCTGTGCCTGCACCTGCATGGCATCACCAAAGGTAAGCTGCAGCCAGGAAGTTCAGCCGAGGGAACGCTGCTGGGGACCTGGCCGCCCCTGGGAAGCCCCACCCGATGTTTCCAAAGGAATCAGCTGAGATCTGGTGTTGTCACTTGTAAGTTGTGTGACTTGGGAAAAGTCACATAACTGCCTGGTCTCAGTTTCCTTGTCTGTAAAATGGGGGTAATCAGAGCTTCTGTGAAATACAATGATGGCTGGAGAGGGCTTATCAGTGGTGAAAGGGTATATGCCAGGGGCTGCATTATTGCCACTGCCTGTGCACTCTGCTTCTTAGAGTGGCATCCCCTCTAGGTTGTTGGGTCTGGTCTCCAGACTTGAGCCCCCTCAACCTCATGCTCTGGGCTCAGGGGGAGACAGCTGCGACTTAGAAAGAAGAGGGAACTTCTGGGCCATCCAGGTGGCCGCCCAGGGAGATCTTTGCATCTGAAAGGACATGGGAGAACTTTTTCAAAGCCATTTCCAGTTACCCAGCTATAATGAGGAGCTCTAACCCCCAGGAATGGCTGCTGGAGCCTAGGCGGTTCTGTCCAAGTTGCTCCTAGACATTCCAGACACTGATTATTAGATCTCAAACCTCCCTTCTTGGGCAGGACGTCCCCTCTGGGTTCTGCACAGCTTGGGAATCCCAGGGCCCTGGGAAGGTCCTCTAACCCTCAGCTCCTGGTTCATTCCTTTTTCTCTCTGTAAAAGAGACTTTTTGCTTCTGTTATGAATAAATCTGTAAAAACGTTCCCTTTGTGTTTCTTCCAAGGCAAAGATCTGGAGGAGTTAAAGCACATTAACCTCTTCCCAGAGTCCTGGCTGGTCAGAGTTATGGCCAACCATTACCACGCAGTGAGTTGCCAGCTCAGCATGGAAACAATTATCGAAATGTGTTGCTTTAATGATGTGGCTTTTTCTGGAGCTGTGTTTTGCCTTTGAGACCTCAGCCTTTGAGGTTGGGATTATCTGGCTGCCCCACCAGGGGAAGTGGGAGAGCTAAGCCTGGAGGGGTGAAGGGAGGAGGCCAGCTTGGAACCCAGGTGCCTGGAGCAACGCATTATCAACCTAGAGGGTCAGATGGGGTCAGGGAGCATTAGCCAAACAGCCCCCCAAACTGAGTCCCGACAGACACAAATGTAATAAGTGCTCATCATCAAAAAACTTCAAAATGCAGAGAAATTGAAAGAAGGAAATGATATACCCTCAGGCTTACCTCCAAAGACAATACTGCCACCACCTCATTGATTTGATTGTCTTTTCTGTGGGATACACTTTAGTGAACGTGTCTCCTGTCGCCATAGAAATGGCAGCAAGCTCTTCCTCCAAGAGGAAGCGCTATAAACAATGCTGCTTTGCTTTCCTGTTATCATGGAAAACTGCGCGGCTAATAATGGTTAACTATTATAAGTGACTGTATGATGCACAAGTATTTGCCCACAATCATTTATTTTACTATACTTAGAATTATTTCCTTTTAAGAGATTCTCAACTGGATCAAAAAGAAATGTGCACTTTTGTTCTTGATATATATTAACAAATTTGGGACCAAATTACTCTTCCCCCAAGTAATAAATGAGTGTGTCTCACTGGCACGCTCAACAATGTTAGGTATTTTCATTTCAGATCACTTTTGTTAATTGAGAAGCAAACAACAGCATCTCATTGTTTAATATGCATTTCCTTTATTAGTAGTAAATATGAATATTTTTCCATATGACATTTCCCCCCTTTGTGAATTGTGTATGCAAACTGTTGTACTTCTTACGGGTTTCTAATCTCGCATTTTTAGAGATGAAATAGGGCAGTGTTTGAGTTATGAAGATTCATGAGTCACTAGTTGAAATTCAGTTCAGCTCAACAAATACCTATTGTAATGGGGAAACCACAGTGCTCTGTGCCCCCCGCACTGCAGTGAACGACTCCATGCATCCATGCTTCTCTGAGGCCTAAGCCACAGCTGTGCCATGACAGAACCGAGTGGGGAAGGGAGACGTGCCTGGGGCTGACAGCCTCGGGAAGCCCCCACCGCCTTCTTGGTGTCCTTCCCTCACTCACCTCCTTCCTTTTGCCCCCTGCTGCCAATGCCATGGAGCTGCCATGTGACATCATACTTGCTCTTGACTTTGCGACCATGATCATCCTCTGCCTCGTGATGGGGCTACTTATGCACAAATTTTGTTTCCCCAGTAAGACTGGGGCATTTTCCTTATTCTCATCCTTGCATCCTCTGAAAGCATTAAGCGTAGTACATGGCATAAAGTAGGTTTTCAGTAAATACTGCCGACTGGATTGTGGGCTGAATGTAGGATCCAGAGCAGAACTCTATTTTGAGTACAGTGGGGGGTTGCAGGGCTCAATGAATGACATGAAGATGATGAGGGGTGTTCCTCTGGGGGATCAGGCTGCCAGTAAGCTGTGTGCTTTTCCCTTTCAGCTGGAGAATGGGGGTGACATGGCCCATGTGAAAGATCTTACCACCCAGTCTGTGAGATTTGGGCTGCTCTTTAACAAGGTACTGACCCCTCAGCCCAAGGAAGGGGAGGAACCATCCATCCCCTTCCATGCTTGCTTAAGGACATTTGTACTGTCACTTCTTACCTCTGGTCACACAAGGTCAGGGCAGAAGAGGAAATCATAGTGCCGCTTCTGCATGCTCACCACCCCCAAGCAAATAAAATCACAAGACAGGAGCCTGGGACAAGCCATTCATTAACTAATGTGCATGTTCACAATTTCCCCTTGAGGGTAACCAACTGTCCCTGTTTTCCAGGGATGAGGTTGTTTCCCTGGGATGCAGGACTTTCTGTTCTAAAACCAGGAAAAGCCTGGGCAAACTGGGATGAGCTGGTCATGCTCTTCCACACAAACATCGGAAGCTGCCAACGGCTCAATGAAATATTCCACTCGAAGCCCATGTTTATGGTTAGGAGGGTGAACCTAGTCTGGACAGCTGTTTTGATGGGCCCCAGAATCAAAGCAGCAGAGGCTTGGAGGGTTGGATGGCAAAGCATCCGGGTCTCAGTCACCAGGGGGCATCCAGGATTGGCAGCTGTGCTGACTTGGGTTCCCTGTGACAGGCACGCTGCTCCAAGAAATCATGGCTCTCCAGCTTCTTTAGAGCCACCCCAGTAGTGATCTCAAAAGAATTCATGTTTCAGGGAGTTGGGGCCCTGAATCTATCATCAGACTCTCCTCTCTGGGTCTGGCCTGGATGGGCTGGGTCCACCCCTTGCTTGCAGAGACCTGCCTCAGTGCACAGAGTGCAGACCACAGGGGCAGGACACCTGCAATACCAGGAGTATGGGGCGTCTCTGAGGCCCATCGGATTAGGGCAAAATGCATTGTTTCAAAGGTCTGCAGACCACAGGCCATCTGAGAACATACCTAACTCATGCTTCTCCCCACTAAAGGGCACATGGAGTGAATAATAGCTAACCGGTAGGATCTGTAAAGTCACTGTTGCCTGAACATTACCCCCCAGTTCCGCCAAAATTTATGGCCTGGCCCATCTGCCTCAGAAGGCCATACCAGCATCTAGGTGTGGACAGCAGGTGGCAGGAGTTTTCCTATGCTTGGCAAATGAGCCACTTCTGTTATAGCTAGAATTTGTGTTGCTTTGCCCTCTTTCCTTTGAATACTCAAGGTTTTTTCCCCTGTTACGTTGTTGTTTATCTTTCCCAATTTAGGAGTATACAACTTATTCAGAAATGATTGCCATATACGGATTCTTCTTTGAAATAAAGGGACTCAAACATGACACTACCTCTTACAGTTTTTACATGCAGGTAAGAAGGACAGAACACAGGAAAGGCACGTCTCTGAAATAGTCTTTGAGATTCTGAGTCAATTTATACTAAATTAACAATAATTGGTTAATCATTAGTTGATAATATGGAATATGTTGTAAGCCTGGTGCTAATCACACTCTCATAGATGTGATATCATTTGATTTTTGCAACAACCTTAGGAGGTTGTTAGCTCATTTAACAGACAAGAATCTCAAAAGTGAGTATCTTCATGTTCATATGACCTTGTTGGCAAAGCTGGGGTTAAATTCTGGACTCTGAATCTGCATCTGGGGCTCCATTCATCTTCAGTGGCAACATAGTGGGTGCAGCTTTGCAGATGGTCATTCTTCCATGGGGGTAATGGGAGGGGCCGCAGGGAGAGGGAATGGTCTTGCGTAGAGTGGCAAAGCAGGGGGCAGTGGGCAGGACGCTGGAGAAGTCAGGGCGGGAGAGTGCCGAGTCTGGTGAGCCGGATGACCTTGGCAAGCCTATGAACCTCCCCGGGTGCAGTTTCCAGACCTTTTCGACGGAGAAGGTAGTAGGACCTACCTCTCTGGTTGTTGGAGGTCTTTGGGAAATCATAACTTACTAATCTTTTCATTGTCAGTGCCAACCGCAATACCTGGAACATAGGGAAGTGTGCTTGTGCCATGAATGGACACATGGGTAAATGCATGAGTGAAGAGCCTGAGTTTTAGCCCCAGCTTTGCCACCACCTCACTATGGGCTCTTGAGCAAATCACATCTCTGCCTTGACCACGTCTCTTCGTTCTTAGTTTTCAGTGACTCAGGCTTTTGCCCACATAATGGATTTTGCTGGATGGAAGAGATGAATTATGTGACAGCACCAGACCAAATGCTCATATGAATACTATGTTGGTTTTTAAGCTCTGGCAAAGCAATAGTGAAGCCGTTCCAGTTCAATACAGCTCGACTTACTGGCGTGTTTTTCTGGGTGGGCCAAACCCCAGTCCATTGGCCAGTGGTTTGCATATGGTGAGGGCACAAATGCCAAGTGACGCGGCAGCAGTGCTCAGGAAATGGGGCCATGGGGAAATGCCTTCTTGCTCTCTGCACACATTACACAGGGGGGGTGGTCAGTGTGCCAGGAACCCGGATTCTCTAACTCTGGATCACCCCAGTTTCAGTTCTCCCTAAGGCAGGTCATTCTTCTTGCAGAGAGTAAAGCACACGGACTTGGAGTGTCCCTCCTCGGCCTGCGAGCAAGGGCCCATTAGCCTGAGAGCAGAACGCTTGGTGACATACGAGATCAGAGCCCAGGCCCTGGTGGACAGCAGGTGGCAGGAGTTCAGGACGAGCCAGATCACACAGAAGTTCGGGTTCGTCAAGCCATCCCGCAAGAGCCGTGTCAGTGCCTTTGCCTTGTCTTTTCTCTTTTATTTCCTTTTTGCTCTTTCTCTCATCCACCCCTGCTGGGGATCACTGATCAATGGCTTTATGATCTCTGGGGGAAGCTTTCTCCTAAGGATTAGCCCAACTCCCCCAATAATGCTGAAGAGAACCCTCCCAGAATGAAAAGCTGGGGATCCTGAAAACTATAAACCAAACCAGGCTGCCTGATTTGGGTCACACCAGATCCATGTTATCAATGTCAAAGGTACATTTCTGGGAGGAGAGATGTATTTGTCACCACCACCTCCACCGTTGCCTGAACATCACCCGCCAGGTCCACCAAAATTCATGGCCTGGCCCATCTGCCTCAGAGGGCCATACCAGCATCTAGGTGTGCTCAGCACCCAGCCTGGCTCCTAACAGCCAAAGTCCAAAAATTGCCAAGAGCCTGTCTGTAGTCCTAGGAGGGCCTCTGGTCTGTGACATCAAAGATGTCCGGGGTGTCCCTTGCTGCCCCACAGGTAATGGGACCTGGCCTTAAACCAATGAAAGGTTCTCAGCCTTGGCTGCACAGAGAGTCGCTTGGCCCTTTGCAAAGTCCCCAGGCCTGAGCTCTACCCAGATGGTGAGGCAGGATATTCTGCAACGGGGCCCAGGCATCAGTCTTTTCTAAAGCTTCCCAAGCTGATCGCTGTGACGGTGGGAATCAAAGCATCAGTTTCCTTGGGGGAGGTGGGAGTAGGGGAGGCAGGATGCTGACTGGCAGGGAAAACGAGGGCGATTTCTGAGGTGTTTGGAATGTTCTTGATTGTGATCAGGTGGCAGTCACATAGGAGAGCTTATTTGTGAAACTGATCAAGCTGTAACCTCAACATTTTTGCACTTTATTGTATTGAAGTTGTACTTCAATTTTTAAAGGTTTATTTTAAAGACCTTCCCTCCATGATTTGGACACGCAGGCAGAGCTGGGAATGACTGCCTTACACACTGTCAGGCCTTCTTCATCCCCTTTCCAGAAGACAACTGTGTTTATCCTGAAAGTTCCATTTGCTTTGCTTTGTTTCACCTTTTAGGTGTTAAAAGTCCAAACTGTGGGTATCCCAGTCTATGCAAGTTTCTCATTCATCTTCCCAGTATCTTGACAGTTCCAGAAGAATCTACAGGATTTTTTTTTCTGTCACCAGTCTGCATAAAAGAAAATAAAATGATATGAAGGGGACTACTCAACTATTCAGCTGACTTTCTTGGTTCAAATGGTCTCATTAGAACTTTTGCCCACTGTCTTAGTACATTTGGGATGCTATAATAAAATACCTCAGACTGGGGTGGTTTATAAAGAACACAAATTTATTATGGTTCTGGAGGCTGGAGCCCAAGAACAAGATGGTGGTGGATTCAGATGCCTGATGAGAGCCCTCTTTGGTGTGTAGACAGGTGTCTTCTCGCTGTGTCCTCACATGGTGGGGGGCACCAGGAAGCTCTCTGGGGCCTCTTTTGTAAGGACTCTAATCCCATTCGAGAGGCTCCACCCCTAATGCCATCACCTTTGGGGGTTAGGTTTCAACATGAATTCTGAGGAGACACATTCAGACCATAGCACCTGCATTTGTACTTTTGAGGATGGGGAGTACCAGACCTGAGTCCACTTGCCATCACTGGTTCCAAAGCACCCCTGGTCCAGCCCTAACGTGTTGCACCCTCAGGAGCACTGTGATGGGAGCACCAGCAGTGACAGTGTGCTCCACCTGTGAGCATCAAGTGCTGCCCCGTCACTACCCCTCCACCAGTAAACACTACCCGATGACCATTGTCAACAATTAGTTAGGCCATTTAGTCTGCATATTTAATAAACAGATTCACACAGCGTGCACTCTTTTGTGCCTGAATTCTTTTGTTCAATAACATCTGTAAGAGATTCCTCCATGTTTCCATAGGGAGCTGTTGTTTTTTTCAAATAAGCATGAGCATTTCACTTTCCAAAACACAAAATGTTTCTTCTATGTAACAATCCAGGCTTGTAGAAGAAAAATGAGAAAATAGAAAGAAGAAAATAAAATCCACTGGGACTCCCTCCCATCTCTCAGAAGTTTGGCAGGCAAACTTCCGGAATTATTTTTAGGTGCACTTCAAGTTTTCTCCCCATTCAAAATGGGATTATGCAGCGCACTCTTCCTTAGAACATGATTTATCTTTTTTCTCAAGAGTTAAACAGGAGGAGAGCACAGAGGAGCACACTGTTTGGGGCGGAAGGTAATGATGTATTTGCCTCGCCCCCTCCTCGTGCTCAGTCAGAAAAGTCGCTTGTCACTTACCCTCTGTGGACATTGCTTCTTCCTCTGCGGAAAGAGCAGAAACCAGCCCTGCACCTCCCGCTCGGGGCTGGGAACACTCAGACACCACTGCATGTCACAGCTCCTTCATGGACTCACCCCCGTGCACACATGGGGGCTCCACGTTACTGGCGAGAGAAAGCGCAGCCCATGGTGTTCTACCTCAGTCCTGTGGGCTGAGAGGGAAGATAACGCAAAACTTCTGAAAACCAAGTCTGCACATGTCCGAGAGAGACGAAGCTGTTCGGAGGTGCTGCTGAAACATGAATGATTGTCTTCTTTCTCAGTGAAACAACTGCCCCCAGCTTAGCCATCTGGAACATGCAAACTTGTCTCCTGCAGCTGGCTGGAGCAGGAGCAATGCCAAAATGTCTCCCTAAGGGGAATGGTAAACTGTGAGGGACCCCACAGCCAGGGATGGAGGAGGAAGCAACCCTGGAAGGGATGGATAGGATCTGAAGAATTGGGCTGCCTCCCCAGCCTCCAGAACCAGCAACCGCTACAAGGTGCAAGAGACAGAAGGATTTGAGATGTCGGGGAGAGGGACCCTTTGATGTCATTTCTACCTCCTCATTGTCCAGTGGGGGAGACTGGGTCCCAGTGAGCTGGAATGACATTTCTGGTTGGAAGGTACTCACCAGGCACCTCTGACCCCTTTGGCACTGGACACCCACCCTCTCACTGACTTTCTCCGGCCCCTCTGGGGTAGGTGTAAGGTAGGTACACTTTTCACATCTGGTAAAAGTGGAAGCTGTTCCCCAGAGACTAAGGTGTTTATGTGTCCAAGTTTCCTCTGAGGGGCAGAACTGGGCTAGGGGGTGCTGCCTTAGGCCTGGCCACAGGGCCTGCATGTTTCCATTACCCTCCATGGCCCACTGAGAAGAGGTCAATTATTTTAGGATTAATCCAAGTATTTATTGAACACCCACTGTATGCTCTGCAGAAATGTGCTGGGCATCTTGGGTGTGCTGGGCATCTGGGGTACATGGGGCATATAGGGTACACTGGGTATGTGGGGTGTGCTAGGCATGTTCATGCTGGGCATCTGGGGTGTACTAGCTGTCTGGGGTACACTGGGCATCTGAGATGTGCTGGGCATCTGGGGTGTACTGGGCATCTGGGATGCACTAGGCATTTGGGGTACACTGGGCATCCGGGCCATGCTGGGCATCTGGGGTATTCTGGGCATTTGAGGCATGCTGAGAATCTGGGGCATTCTGGGGGGTGCTCGGCACTTGGGGTGCACTGGGCATTTGGCATTCTGGGCATTTGAGGGTGCTGGGCATCTGGGAGGTGCTGGACCTGCCACAAAGGGTGATATGGCATGTGAAATAGCATTTAACTCCAAGGAGAGCATTGGGACATAGTGGGAGTGGCCTCTCTGAGGAGGTGGCACATAAATGGGCCTTGCATATGGAGGACTGGTGGGACACCATACACAGATGAAGCTCAGCTGAGAGCAGGTGCATTTCCAGGTCCAGGGGGCTTGGACTGAATCTTTACCAGAACCAACCAGGAGCTGGTACAAATGCAGATTCCAGGGCCACAGCTGTGAGAGGCTGCTTTTGAGTCTAGGAGGCACCCAGGAGCCTGTGCTTTAATGGGCTTCCGGTGACATCCCGACGCAGGCGTCTGTGATCACATCCAAAGTCAACTCCAGTCTGAAAATGCCAATTCTACAATCAGGTTCCCCACTGTACCCCACACACCCAGTTATCTTCCTTACCCAGTGAATAAAACCCAACAACAAAACTGTGAATCTATTTCACCACACTGGCTGACTTTATTTTTAAAACCAAATTTCCTATAATACAAAAGAAACAGAACCTGAAGGAGACCCCCTCCTGTGGGTGAACCATTTGCCTTAAGCCAGAGAATCCACCCCTTTCCACTAGGGGGCGAGGTCAGCCTCAGAAATGGGAACCAGAATTTTAGTGGTAGAAAGTTGCAACCTGAAAGCTCAGCTTGCACAGGCCCCTTCACCCAGCTGTTCAAAGTGAACTTGTGTACATCCCGGTGAGGCTCCGGTCATTCGAACATCCAGCGTGTTCATGGTACAAAATCTCAAGTATAAGTCTTGAGACAAAAATTCTCAAGATGATCTTGGCAAGCCTTTTTTACAAATGAGAACTTAGACTAGAATTAAAAAACCCTCAGTCACAATGCCCAGGGCAATGACCATGAGGGCTGGTCAACATAACATGCTATGTGCTGTGTCCATGACCACTTCTCCGTTTGCTTCTGCCATCACCCCACATCTGGCTCACCTCCCCAGACCCTCCCCTCCAACAGAGATGGCCAGAATTTCGCTCTGCCTACACCAACTCTTTGAGGCCCTAAAGTCAAACAGATGAGGATTTGAGTCCTAGCTCTGCCCCTTCCTAGCTGCATAATCTTAGACAAGTCACTTAACCTCTCTGAGCCCCAGAGCCTAATTGGAAGTTGGCAATACAACTGGTGCTAAGCGTTAAATAAATTGCCATACAATATGTAAAGCACATAATGCATAGCAGGAGCTTAATACAATTTATTCCCACTCCTCCCTTGTTGCCTGAAGTTGCTTAGTATTTGTTGAAGGTCAAGATGGACACTGTGATCTTGTGGCAAGCTGTTTTCCTCCTCTGGGCCTGCTTGCCCTTAGGCAGAGTGCAAAAGGTTGAACTAGGTGCTTGCAGTAGATTTCCAGGTGTAGTCGCTGAGTCCTCTGATGCTGCGAGTGGAGAAGAACCGGTGAATGTTTGAGCTTGTGAACCAGCGGGAGGAGGACCTGGAGAAGAATGACCTCTTATTTTCCCATGTGCTCATCAGGACAAGAATGGACTAGAAAGAGTAAGAAGTACTCTTTTTCTTGTTAGAGGGTTTTGCTTTCTGGAGACTGGGGTGTCCGTGGTACCAGGGAGGAGACGTTTTTGCCCTTGTAAGGCCAGGTTGAGCAGGGGAAGAGCGGAGGCCTGCCGAGCTGCTGGGAGAAGGGTGGGCTCCCCAGGGGCTGGGTGGAGAACTTCTGCAGCCCACTTGCACACAGAGGGTTGGTGTAGGAATGTGGGGGAGGCCGGCTCACAGACCATGAGGCCTTGAGAGCTGGGAGAGGGAGGGCAGATTCTGGGGTGGCGGGGAGGGAGTTGGGAGAAACTGCTGTGAGGGCAACCCTGGGGCAAAGCTGTCCAACAGAATTTGCTTTAATAATGGAAATGCCCCGAATCCAACCTGTCTGGTGTGGTAGCCACCAGCCATGTATGGCCACTGAGCACTTGAAATGTGGCTAGTGTGATGGAGAAATTGGGTTTTTAATTTTATTTCATCTTAATGTATTTAAATTTAAATAGCCATAAGCCAGTGAAAGGAGCAGGGTGACAAAGAAAACCCAGCTGAACAAAGACCACATCCTTCCTGGTTCTGGAACCTTCCAGTGTACAGAGCCCGGAGCAGTGGAGTGGTGGCTTCACCTAGAAGCTGTGCCTGAGGCTCAGGCTGCAGCCGCCCCAAACATTTGCCTAGACTTCCGGGTGCAGGCCACCCGGTGGGTACAGGGAGAAGCTGTGCTAGGGGAAAGAAAGTCTCTAATGCCAGAGAAGCCAACCCAGCTGAGTATTGAGGTACCATTGTTACCCCTCTCCTTCCACCTGTACTGATGGTTATTTAAATTTAAATAGATTAAAATGAAATTCAATGAACAACTTGATTTCTCTCTCGCATCAGCCACATTTCAAGTGCCCATGCTCACACAGGGCTAGTGGCTACCACGTTGGGGGGTGGATACAGCACCACAGCTCCCATCACTCCACTGCATGACTTGAATGAGTCATTTGCCCTTTGTGCTTTCATTCTCTGAGTCATTCATTCATCCCACAGATTTGTAGCGGGCTGCCCCTGTGGCTCAGGCAGGGTTAGGGTTTCAAAGGTGAGCACCACAGGCCCTGCCCTCATGGAGCCTCCAATGTGGGGAGAGACAGGGGGTTGATGGAGTTACACTAGCAAATGTCCCAAGGAGAGGCAGCCTAGTTCTTTAAGGACAGAAAGCAAAGAAAGCTGACCTAGGCTCCCGGGGAGGGGAAAAAAGGGTGGGTATGAGGGCCCCGGAGTGCCCTTCCCCTAGGGAAGTGATGCTTAGGTTGACAGCTGAAGTAGGAGTGGATTTAAATGGGTTTGAGCAGAGAAATCAGAACCCCCATATGCTGCTGAGAGGAATGTGAAATGGTTCAGCCACTTTGGAAAACAGCCTGGTGGGTCCTCAAGTGATGAAACGTACAGCTGTGTCTGACCCACCAAGTCCACCAGGTGTTTACCCAAGAGGAAGGAATGCATGTGTCCCCACAGGAACTTGCCCACCTA